GAAAAGCACTTAGAGAGGAAATTCAAAACACATTGAAGACTGGGAATTGGGGTTTCTGAGAGTTACTTGAAATGACATATTTTATAAGAGTCATAATAGCCTATACAAAACTCTACTTTATGGGTACTTCAAAAGTCATGTCTTCAGTAAAGAATATAAGAAAAAGAAAGTTTGGGTACTGATAGAGTAGTCAAATGAAAACTCTGAGAAAAAGAAAAAAAAAAGAACCAAATTCCAAACTTGACTCTCAGTGGATGACTATCATTAGAAATGGAATAAACCCCTCTCTGGTTAATAAATGGCAAATTTTAACTGAAGTCACTGAAACAAGGTGAATACTATAAAAAGATACTTTGTGAATTTTGTTTGGGTACTATTTTATTATTTCTTAGAGGATTTCATCCATGTATGCAATGTACTTTGATCCATGCCCACACATACTGCATTTTCCCTTCCTACCCTCTCACTTTTCTCCAATACATACTCTTAAAGTGGGTCACAAAAGATTGATTAGCTCAAGAAATAAGGTTTTATTGCTGACTATATAATTTAAATAGCCTGTATGGTATAATGGTATGTAGAATTCATTATATGAAATATTGTAAATGATATACTTTCAAGAACTAGTCCTTAATATCTATGTTCATTTTCCATGGTCTGAACTAATTAGAAAGAAACCTTATAATCATACAATAATGTGACTCATTTTAATCGCCATTGCTTTGAGACACTTTAAGGCAACTCTCACTAAAACTTTATGAATTATAGGGCTAAGATATCCTTTAATATTATCTATACCTCCCAGACTGAAAGCTAACCAAGGACACACAAAACAAACCTAATTTAGGACAAGAAGTTTTGCCTGCCTGTGTGGGTGTGTGAGAGAGCAGGTGCTGGAGAGAGTGTGAGGACAGGCTCAGCCAGAGGGTCATACGGCTGAAAAACAGACGGCTTATAAGGAAAAATAACCACATGATATTCAAAAGCTAGCTTCCCCAAATAGTACTTCAAGATATGTTTAGTAAGATATATATCCTTTAAAAATTGAAGATTCTTTTCTACATATTCTAAGATTATAAAATTACCATTAAACAAAATTATTTGTGCAAATTATGACAAATATATTCAGAAGTCATTACATTTAACCACTCTTAAATTATGAATTATGTTGTTAAATATACAGAAGGAGAGGATCAGGGAAGGCCTAGGCCTAGCTAATCTGTTAGCCACCCAAGGCTTTAGGATGCTCTCAGACCTCTTTTCCTCGGTCCTGTTAATGCACATCAGTGACTCTACAGAGTGAGATCAATAAACACGAGTCCTTACTGTTGAGTATTAATATGGGATCACAACATAATTTCCCAATTCTATCTCCCCTCAAGTATTTATAGTTAAGGAGCTATTCAAGAAGTATTTCTGAAATAAAATGATCTCTTTTAAAGGAAATGCTTCAATTCTCTTGTTGGTCGATTTAATAACAACTATAATTCAAAATGATGCTAGGCTCTGGTCATTCCCCAAAGTGGTGAAGGGAAAAATCGGCCTAGAAACTTAATGAAAGAGTCCTCAACCTAGGGCAAAAGCCACTGTCAGGTTCCCTTTTTGTTTACTGTGACAAACTATCAGTTAAGCTGGCTTTACAGGGTAAAATCAAATGTTTAGCCTTAAATCAGATCAAGTTCTAGTAGTCTTAGGTAGAAGATTACAAAAATAAAATACATAGGAACCAGACTATTGATTAATTTACAGAACTGTATTCTTTCAAACTAAATGTTTCTCATCTTTTTAAAAACATTTCTTTCCCTCTTTTTCCTCTAGAATATCACTGAACTGAGCACATTAATATGCGTTCCTATGTACCAGTCAGATGAAACTCCAATGAGATGTGACTTACTTATGTATTCGTGCTGGAGACTGAAATAACGGCTGATACACAGTGAGTGCTCTATGGAGCCGCATCCTCCAGACCAACGCTCAACTTAGTACACAATGTTTAGTATGCAAGCTTTGACACTTAAATCTTATAAGTATTCCAAAATAAAAAGTTAATATTTTATTCTTTAAATATATCTTCATATTTCCTTTTATAATTTTACTGAGGTGTAGAAATTAAACGATAATTACATGTTCTCAGACTGTACACTGTGATGGATTTTTGACAGTTTACCCATGAAAAATTACACAATCAAAATTCCAAGCACCCCCCCGCCTTTGCCTGATTCCTCCATTATCTTTAGCTCCCATGACTAACCTGCTCTCCTAAGAAGTCTCAGTCTCCCTCAGAGCCTAACTCTACATTTTCTCAATGGAGTCCCTTCAGATTGACGCGCCATCTGCCCCCTTTATCTACCTTTTTTCATTCAGAAGAATTATGTCATTTATTCATATTCTCATGTATCACACTAGCTTTAAGGGTTTGGGGATTTTTTTTATATTTCTAAGTATTCTACGTCTATACATGACAACATATTTCTTCTATCCACCTGTAGTTGGACATTTGAGTCTCTGCTGTTAGATCAATAGCAGTGTTTGTTTGTGCTGAAGAGGGTAGTGTATGGTTAACACTTTTAGAGAGTGCCAATTTTTTTGTGAAGACTGTGTGGAAATTCAATTTAACATGAGGAGAATGCAGGGTTTCCAGTGGTTGAATATCCTTTCTAACACTTGGGATGACCTGCCTTGTAATACTAATGATTTATGACTCAGCATTAATTTTCCATTGTAGACTGCTGTAAATTTTCCTAATGACAAAGAATTGAAGTATGCCTTTAACAGAACTGTGGGATATTCAAACCCTCTCTACAGACTCTATTTTTTCAACGTGTCTATAGCACAATTTTCCAGGCTTAGTGTACAGTTTTTTGGGATCTGACTCATGTGTAGTTATATGACTCCCATACACATGCTTAACAAATACGCTGATCAAAACGCGGAACTGGCCCATGACTCGGAGGGTCCCTTGTGCAGCTTTCCCACACTTGAACTCAGTCACAGATAGTCAGCTCTATGAGGCACAGACCTGCTTTTTGTTGCATCGTTTCTCCTGTTCCCAACTGTCACTTCAAGAGTGCCATACAACACCTTGTCCTTGTTTATCAGGGCATCATGGAGATTCCTCCACATCATTCACTTAAGAGCAGTTTATTCCTATTTATTTCTGAGCATCATTATAAACTACATGTAATGTTGCTTGCCCATTCACCAATTAAAGGTCATTTGTGTTGTTTCAAGATTTTACAAATTATGAATGATGCTGGTATATACATCCATACATATAAGGTTTTATATAAACTTATTTCACATATTTATGTAAAAACAATTTTTTAAACAGCCATTAATTTAAAAGAGAGCAAGGGAGGATTTGGAGAGAGGGAAAAAAAGGTTAAATGATGTAATTGTAATATCAAAACACTAAGAACTATTCTTAATTTCATATTACTTTTAAGTTACATGTAAAAACTTATTTCCATTATCTTCAGAAATCATCTAGAAAAATTGCCTGAATTTAGTCGCTGAACATAGTTAATAACATTATAGTAAAATTTGAAAATATTTGCAAGGTAACTCAATCCTCTTGAATTTCCACCAACAATGTGCACTCCGTATCTATGCCACGTACCTCTCCAGTAAGTTTAATATCAAATTAGGTTTTATCCTTCTCAGTACATAAGTAGTATTGTTTTACTACAATTCTAACGTTGATACCCTTTGTAACAAATGGTACCAAATATATTTCATTTCATGGGTGCCAACTATACACTTTGCTTATTTGGCTTGGATCAAAATGCAAAGTTATTTCATTAAACAATCTTTTAAGTAAATACAGTTGGAAAATTTAGAGATAAAATGCAAATTAAAATTTTAATTTATAGTTTGAGCTACATACAAAAATTTACTCAAAACCAATTATGTACTAATACATAAAATCTTAAGGTGAAATATGTATAAAGAACACCTTAATGACCACAAGTCTGAGCAGTATTTCCTAAAAATAACAGAAAAAGCATAACTCATAAAGAAATTTACCAGCCTGAGTAGTCATAGACCATGTAAATAGGTAGCCTTGGCAGATAATACCAACTTGGATAAGGACAAGTGAATCATAGGCAGAGTCATAGTGACCTGTCCCCTGAACCTTCACCCAGTCAATACCCTGTTCTGAAAGATATCTGTACTCCCCCTGAACGCCCACCCCCCAGTGTCATCCCGTTCCCACGTCCTGCCTTTTTGTGTTTATAACCCTTGTGTGAATAAGTAAAAATTACAATTTGAAAAAAATAAAATTAAATTAAAAAAAAAGAAATGCAATGGTCCATTGGACTTCATCTTTTCAAAAGATGCTATTTAAGAGATGAAACATGAATTTAAAACATGTATGCAATGCAGGATTTGTGGCCAAAAATATCTACAGAGCTAACAGCTTGACAGTATTCCAAACAATACAAAAATGGCCAAGATACTGGAACAGACATCACCACAGAAAAATTAAAATTGCAAATTCACAGACTCCAAATACGATTAGTTACTTTGAAAATGTGAATTAGAAGTATAACAGGATACTAGTAAATGTTTGTTGGATTTGCTAAACCTAGGAACACTGATCACAGTAATTAGTAAAATAGCTGTGATAAACAACAATTTTCATCTTTACTGGTGGGAGACATGCAATGGCAAGATCCTCACCGGAACTCTATGACCAAGAGAAAAGTATGTCTATGTCTACGTATAGCATTGCATATGAATTTTTACAGAGAATTTACATGACTCATTCAAAGTCAAAACAGCCCAAATGTCCACCATCCAGAGATAGTTTAGCACAGTGGGATTCTACTACACTAGGGTACAAAATACCCCCTTTTAAAACTGTAGACATAATGCCTAGTAAGTAAAGAGGACATGGCACAGTGTACATGTGCAACCCTCCATCATCTAGGTGGTGGTGAGAGCTAAAGAACACAAGATAGCATTTCCTCTTTTGTATTAGAAATAAAGTATCTTACCTATGTACTTATAGCCTTCTTCCCCATCCACCAAGGGTCTCAGCCATGTGGACCTCAGTCTTGTGGTAACATTCACTCTGGCACCTTGAGGAGGATAGAGTGTAAATAATAGCTCAATAGCATTGGACTTTTTGATTACTTCAGAATATTGTCCTCGACTATCTGTAAGAGAGGGGGGGGATTTTTTTTTTTACTTTTTATACATTTTATATGTCTTACATATTTATTGTAAAAGATAAAAACTAAAAACTACTTAACGATTCTAGTGTTAAGCATTATAATCAAAGCATGGATTGACCTGCATCAGAATTACTTTAGCGAACATCATATTCTTCTCGTAGTCCTGACAAAAATATATAGATATTTGCCAATATTGTACTCAGATACTATCATGTTAGAGTAGTGATTGTCAAAGCTATACAAAAATTAAAGTACACTATGAACAGCATTATAATAAATTCTATAACATAAATGGAGATTTTTAATTGCCATTAAGCACTAAAATCAGATTATTCTGGCAAAACGTTGAATCTACATGAAATTTTACAAACTGGTAATAAAGAAAAATTAGCTTCCCTAACCTAACCTTTTTAAAAGAAAAATGCAGAAAACCCAAAAACAGATAGATATTCCAAGATTCTTTTTCCTCAAACACTTGTAGTAGACAAAGAATTGTCCAAGATCATTAAGGTAGTATCACATCAGATTTTTATAGTTCATCTCCAAGGGAGGCCCTATTTCCATACACATGAAGAAACAGGCTCTCAGAAATTACTGAATGAGTACATATCTTAATCAGTGCAAATATCATATGTATAGTGAAGGAGCCCTTGTCAAATAAACATGGACCTGCATTCAGAAGCACAATGGAAATAAAAAATTATGTGTATTGCACAGAAAAACAGTTTCTTTTTATGACCTTCGGTTTTCCTTCCCATTTATAATTTCATGTTTTGGTTAACAAGTCAGTGTTCTAAAACTCAATGACTGTTGAGAAACTAAAAGGGTAATGGGGCTTTAATTTGGGAAGAGTGATGAAGGGTAATGCAGAAGACAAAAGAGAAAGAAGAGATTTCTTAAAAAGATGATTGAAAAAATATAGGAAATCTTTATTTCCTATTTGTCTAAAAATGACATATAGTACAAATAAGGATATGGGTATATATGTAGCTAAAAAAGAAATTATAGCACCTGGGGCGAAAATACTTGCCTCCAAAAGCCATAGATTATGTGACAAAAACATAGTGTCAGGCTAAATATATCTCATCCCAAGCTATTGGTCTGAGAACTCCAAGAAACTCCCAAATGAATATTGTCTAATTGCTATTGCCATCGGTTGTCTCCCAGAACTTGAATGGAAGTTTCTATTACTGAAGACATCATGCATTTGGATATAGGATTCAGAGAGTTTGAGTTATAACTGACCTCAAAGCCATTTCCCAAAGAGCTAGCTTTCCAGTACTAAAAGATACCCTTTAAGCTGCTAGGAGAGGAATCAATAGTTCTACTCATTTTTGATGCTTAAGAACCACAAGAGTCATCAGATATCCCTAAAGGTTCAATAGTCAAACTTATGTGCAGGTAACAGCCAACAACTCTCTAATGAGCTCAAGACCCATCTAACAGGAGGGAAACTATGCTTGGTCCTGTAACCCTAGACAACTATACAGCTAGAAAAAGCAAGAGAATTTTGTTTAGTCTAAATATATAAGATGTGCATCTACTTCATTTTTGTTTCTGACTGATTTTAAAGGTATAAATATGTTCTGTATGTCTTGCTTATAGATTATTGGCCTATAAGCTATTGGGTATGATTAAAAAAAATTGCAACTTTGGTAACAAAACGTTGGCTTAAAACTGGTAACTCAGGGTTGGAGTTACTCAGAAACCAGATGTATAAAGATAGGATTTAAAACAGTGTCTCTTTAATGAGATATTAAAAGCTGCACTATCATGCATTCATATATAAGAACTGGCAGCCAAACTTTGTAACATGAAAGTAATGTACTTGGTGTTGATTTTAGAGAAAATGGATTGTTTACATTGTTAAAAATTGGTTTTGTTTCCCAAAATTATGGTTATACTCTAATATTGCAAAAGAACCTAAAAATATAGTTAAACATCGACTGCAGTTGGCAGTTCAATCATGAGATTGAGATTTCAGACTCAACCATGTTTATGGTTGAGAAGAGGAAGAGGATCGAGCAGGAGAAAATGATTGCAAGAGTAATAAAAGTGTTAAAAACAGCTGTGGCACAGTACAGGCCTGCAAGAAGGATAATCTTTGGGCCAGGCCTCAGGAAGTAGGCTGAGATTAAGAACATTTATATTTGAGTTAAGGCAATGCACAGAGTGGGCTCAGCAGAAGCTTGTGTGACATTCCTTTTGTTATGGACCTGACCAGCCCCTAAAAAGGCGTTTTTCTGGAACTTGTTTACTATCTTGCTTGCTCCTTGGGGAGGAAAGGTCAGCCTCAGACCCAAAAGACATTCACAACAGACAGCTTATGGGCCAGGAGTTATAGATAAAGATTATGCTGGAGAAATTAAAATTATGTCTGCTTCCCTCCATGGCATTATAGCTGTACCTGCTAATAAAAGAATTGCTCAAAGAGTAAGAGAGGACAAGATTGGCCTTCAACTTGGCCTTTATCTGATAATCTCACTCAGCTACAGGGATTGGCTATTCAATTAATCCAAAACAAAGTTCAAACTTAAGATTTATGAAACTTGTGGGGCATTACAGCCTGACTTGCCTACTCCAGCTGCCATTCTAGGAAGTTCATATAGAATTAGTATAGATTTAGAAGATTGTTTTTATACTGTTCCTTTACATCCTGCTTAAGGTGGGAGGTTTGCATTCAGTGAGTTTGCTTGTAATTTTTGAGAGCCCATGAAGCGATATCATTAGAAAGTTTTGCCTCAAGGAATAGCTAATAGCCTTACATTATATAAAAAATTTGTTGTTGCTTTAATACAATAAGTTAAGAGTCCAAATCTTTTAGTGTATATTATTCATTGTATGATATTTTATTAGCTGATCTCTCTGAAGGAGTTTTACTGCAAGCCCTTGCTCTCATACAATGAGCTTTAAAACTTTGGGGAATGCTTCTTGCTCCAGAAAAGATTCAAAGGCAATATCTTTTCAATATTTGGAACCTCAGTTATATCCTAAGCAGATTGTGGCACAATAAGAAAAGATAGTTGGAGCTAGAGAGATGGATCACCCATTAAAGGCTAGACTCACAACCAAAAATATAAGAGTTCAATTCCCAGCAAGCACATGGTGGCTCACGACCATCTGTAATGGGATCCAGTGCCCTCTTCTGGCTTGCAGGTGTTTAAGCAAAAAAAAAAAAAAGAATTACTTTTAATAATTTTCTTCAAAAATTGTTAGGAGATATTAATTAGCTAAGTCCTCACCACAAGAGGATTTAAGACCTCACCTTAAGCTCACGACAAGAGGACTTACGCCTTTGTTTGATATTCTCAAGAGAGATGCAAATCCTAATTCTCCTTGACTATTAACTGATGAAGGAGGAATAGCTTTGCAGAAAGTAGAGGAAGCTGTTAGTTATCAACAGATAAATTAGATAGACTATGATAAACTGTTAGCTGTTAGCTGTTTGCATTATTGCTACTCATGTGCTCACAGCAGTCCTTTGGCAAAAGAGACCATTAATACGGATTCATCTTTCTTCATCTCCAAAGAAAGTTTTAACACCCTGTTCTAAAGCTGTTGCTGTGTTAATACAGAATTGTAGGTCAAGATCACAAAAGTATTTTGAGAAAGATCTTAACAAAATATTCCTTATTCCAAACAGCAATTAAATTGGTTATTGAAAAATACTGATATTTGGCCTATTACATGGCAAACTTTTTAGACAAATTTGATAATCATTATCCAAAAGACAAGTTGTTACAGTTTTCTTCTATGCATGCTTTTGTATTTCCTATAAATTCATGCATGCAGCCCATAGAAAAGGTGTTTACTGTATTTACAGACAGCTCATCTAATGAGAAGGCAGTATATGTAATTAGATCACATGTTCATTTTCTTGAGATTCGCCCTGCTTCAGCACAAATAATTGAATTACATGCTGTAGCCACTGTTAGAAATGCTGAAAAAAAAATCAAGCTTTCAATTTGTATACTCACAGCTAGTATATAGCTCATGGTTTATAATTGCTTAACATTGTTCCTTTTTTAGATATTCTAATTCTCAAATTTTACAGTTATTTATACAAATGGAGCTTAATTTAAGAAACATGCACTGTTCCTTAACTTTATAAGACATTTAAGAGCTCATACTGGATTGCCTGGACCCCAGGGCAATGCCAGAGCAGATTTGTATACCAGACAGATTATAGGCCTTACAGAAACAATTGGCCATACACTCTTATTCTTTACATCATTCAAATAGTAATACCTTGAGATAATAATTTGGTATTTCCAGAGAGTGTGCAAGTCAAATTGCAAAATCTTGTTCTCTGTGTCCTCAATTTCTTCATAATGGTGTTAATCCTTGAGGACTTACACATAATCAATTATGGCAAATAAATGTTACTCATTTTTTGATTCTAGGAAGTTAAAATATGTACATGTGACTTGACATCTTTTAGGCTTTCCAATTGCAACTGCTTTAACAGGAGAAGCAAGTAAAAATGCAATTAGTTATTGCCTACATTATTTTTCTATGCTTGGTATTCCATATTAGATTAAGATAGATAATGGAACTGGCTATTGCAGTCAGACATTTGAGATGTTTCGCTGACAATTTAATATTACTCATATTACTGAGATTCCTTAGGCGAACCCTAGAAAGCAGAGAGGGAAACCCTGTTTACTTCAGCCATGTTGGAGTCAGGCTTCTTCAAGAAGTTGACCTAGTAGCTCTCGTGCAATGATGCATTTCCAAGTATGAAGGGGGAAAGTTACAGCACAGAAAACTGGATAAGTCACAATCCCTGAAGTGCTCTATGATGCTCAGAGAAGGCAGCAGAATGAACTGTAGCTGCTCTTGAAACCATAAAGAGAAAAAGAAAGTAGGAATGAATCGGAAGAATCTCTGCTGCCTAATAGAAATGGATCAAATTGCACTGGAGTTTTTTAGCTCTCCTGCATTTACTTCATTCTAAGTACTTCAATTTGAAGCTGTGTCCA